CATTTCTATATTTTTGGCTTCCAACTTCTGCTTCTTGCGTTTTAGCCCAACAATCTTGTCTTGTAATGCTTTTTTGTCCATCACAAGTTGCTCCAACAACATGTCCTTATCCATTGTCTTGTCTTCTTTGCAAGGTTCATTTCCTTCACCAACCCATTGGAAATGATGACAGTCTGCCTTCTGCAAGTGAACAATAATGCAAATAAACTCATCTCAATATACCTTAATAAACTCAATTTCAGTGTATTTCAATTCTCACTCATTCTAACAACTAATTCCGCACTTATTCAAAGGAATGAAGAGTAAAATTCTAAGGAATAGTAAACAACTTACAGGCCACAGTGCACACCCATAAAATTGATTGCTAGTATTTGGTCCGTTTTAACGATTCTAGGTGGAGAACACAAATTGTGATAGCCGCACAACCCGATAAGAACAACAACAGTGCATCCCTATTGAGTTGTACAAGGCGTCCGATTGATCCTATTGCCAAACCGATTAGTAAACACATACAATCAACATCAATATCATAATAAAACAAATGCGGAAACAATAAAATGTTTGATACTTAGCCACACGTGGCAAACACGGGCACGCAAGCCCCCAATTGTTTTAATGAAAATATTGTTCGAAAATCCATGAGCGGTTTATACATTTGAAATAAGAATGGAAGCACGAACCACGTCTTCCTTCTCGATCAGTCACCCTAGGCAAAGGTGCAGGTAGTAGGACTCTAGCCTCAACCTGAAAAATGTGAGGGCCCCCGGAGGGGTCAGTACTCCATAGAAGTACTAGTGACAAAAAGGCTATATGAAGAATAACTAATGTTTCAGACACGAGACCCAAAAATAGGGTGATACATATATATATGTGACTCATTCATCCGATGATACACACTGTATATATATATATATGTAAAATACTCGACCCACAGGTCATTTCATTCAAAGAGTCTTTTAGAGACAAAGTTCTTACCTGACCTTTCTCACCCTTTTCCCGAATGCCTAGCTCACCAGCTACATTCTACATTCATAATATCCTACCGAGTTTTGGGAGCATTTAGCTTCCCGGGGATACTCAACCCCAACCGAGTTTCAGGATCATTAAATGTTCCGGGGATGCTCAACCCCAACCGAGTTTCAGGATCATTTGTAGTCCCGGGGATGCTCAACCCCAACCGAGTTTCAGGATCATGTATGGTCCCGGGGATGCTCAACCCCAACCGAGTTTCAGAATCATTTAATGTCCCGGGGATGCTCAACCCCAACCGAGTTTCAGGATCATTTATAGTCCCGGGGATGCTCAACCCCAACCGAGTTTCAGGATCATTTATAGTCCCGGGGATGCTCAACCCCAACCGAGTTTCAGGATCATCTAATGTCCCGGGGATACTCAACCCCAAACTAAATCCTTACCAAACCCTAACCTGGATATGGCTAACCTTTCGTTCCTTCAACTATGGACAATACCTAGCCCTATAGTCATATAACCATCCTTAGGAACCAATGTGGGCGGGTCCCACCTGAACGGCCCACATTAACCCGCTCAAAACTGCCCGTTTTGAGCATAAACCAATACTCGATCGAGTATCTACCCATACTCGGTCGAGTACAGGAGGCGGTAGCCCCCAAAGCTAATTTTCCATGTATACGCGATCGAGTATCTACCTATACTCGATCGGGTATAGGAGACAGTAGCCCCCTGGGCAATTTTTCAGCAAATACCCGGTCGGGTATGTGTCAATACCCGGTCGGGTATGGCAGTTGACTTGGCGGTCAACGCCCCTTTTGACCCCCCAAACGGAGTCCGATTAACTTGAAATTTTATACACATATACTTCTTGATGTCCTTGATCCAAAAATACCATTTTGGATCCCTGGATCATCACACAAAATATGTTATCACATTTTTAATCACCAAACCTACATAACATGCTTTTCAACTATGTTTTATGCAAAATCATGGCATAAGCAAATACTTGATTATCTTTAATCATTCCACAAAACATATCCTTGATTACTTTAGGTAATCTAATGCCTCACGCAAAAGTTATAAAGCATAAAGCCGTCTTCTCACCTTAATGAAGCTTATGAAGTTCTAGCCTTCCCGATTTAACTCCGGCGAAACTCCGGCGAGCTTCAACGAACTCCGGCGACAACTCCGGCGACTCTTTCAACTCCGTGAATACCTTAGACAAGTTACTAACAAGGTTTTATCATCATAAAACCCATAGTAATACAAATAACCCCCAAAAGGTTATTTTCCGGCGAACCCATAGTAAACAAGTTACTAACAAGGTTTTATCATCATAAAACCCATAGTAATACAAATAACCCCCAAAAGGTTATTTTCCGGCGAACCGGTTACTTTGGCTCCTAAGTCCGTTCTTGGACATAGAACTACCTTCCAACCCCTCTTTCTACACATAACAACGTGTAGAACAATACTAGGGTGTGAAATATGATTGAATAATCATATAAGAGTATTGAAGAACAAGAAATGGGATTAATGGAGTCCTTACCTTGCTAAACACAAGTTTTCCTCTCCAAAATCAACTTTTCCTCTTCTCTTTTCTCCTCCTTCTTCCTCCTTAGCTCCAATGCGTATATGGAAGATGAATATGGAGTATTTCCAGAGCTTAACTCTCTTCTTTGAATGGGTTGGCCGAGCATATGGGTTGTTGGGTGAGGGGATGGCCTTTTTGGCTTATTCACCAATAATATGGGGGGGAGGGACCCCTCTCCATTTATTGGTTTGGCCCCCAACCAGCTCTTGCCCCTTTTCCATCACATTGTGCGGCTCCCCTTGGCTTCCTTGCAGAGATAAAGACGTGGGTTGGCCCCCACTTATGTGGGAGGTCAACCCTTTGTGTACCCAAGTGTACAATCGGTCCCGAAAGTTGTATTTTCCGGACTGTTTTAAGTATATTTTATTTTATCGGGTCAAATAAAATATAACACTTGTTCCCAATCCTTATTGGACCTTAGAATCAATATGATTCCCCAACTTTAATTTAGAAATCTCCGGAATCCCTTTTTGGGCTGTTATCAGATAAATTGCCGATACCGATAATTTGGCCCCGTTTGACCAACCGGTCAACCCTATGCCATTGCCATGGCCCAATTAGGATATCCATCACCATATACATATTATCTAGTCCAAGATCAATATAATATGTGCTTCCGATAATATCGGGCGGCCCCACATCCGGTGTGGGCCCCACGTGAATTCTACTATTCACGTAATAGAAATGATAAAAAGTTTACAATCACGTAAAAATGCTTTTATACATTTCTCAAGGTTCAATACACAATTTGGTACAGTGCAAATACTCGGGGGCGGTGTTACATAACAATAGTCAACAAATGCTAATAGTCCACAAATGCTAACCAACTGATCCTACTACAAATTCAAAACAAGATACAAGACAGGTCTACTACACACATCTAAAACTCTGAGATTTGTCCAACTAAGTTTGGTCTAGTCACTTAAAATACAAGACAATAAAAAACCACATCCAGGAGACAACAAAAGCAATCAATGTCATTCTTTTCTTCATTCTCTGTGTCTTCACATTGTTGGTAATCAGTAGTTGCATTTCTATATTTTTGGCTTCCAACTTCTGCTTCTTGAGTTTTAGCCCAACAATCTTGTCTTGTAATGCTTTTTTGTCCATCACAAGTTGCTCCAACAACATGTCCTTATCCATTGTCTTGTCTTCTTTGCAAGGTTCATTTCCTTCACCAACCCATTGGAAATGATGACAGTCTGCCTTCTGCAAGTGAACAATAATGCAAATAAACTCATCTCAATATACCTTAATAAACTCAATTTCAGTGTATTTCAATTCTCACTCATTCTAACAACTAATTCCGCACTTATTCAAAGGAATGAAGAGTAAAATTCTAAGGAATAGTAAACAACTTACAGGCCACAGTGCACACCCATAGAATTGATTGCTAGTATTTGGTCCGTTTTAACGATTCTAGGTGGAGAACACAAATTGTGATAGCACTGAATTGAAAAATCAGTCCTTTCATTGCTTCTACTCCATGAAGATGAGCTAGCATTCGAAGCCATTGACTTGTGGTGTCCCGTTCCTGTGCAGTATCTTCGCGAATCGGAAGATATGAAGAAGACGAGTTGGCCGTTTCTTCAATTCCTTCAATTCATAGGTCGATGACTGAGAAATACGCTGGAATAGGGTTGCAATGTATATTTAGTAAGAACACATGAGTCGCATGTGTCTATACTTTCCAGTTATAGCTTAGGTTAGCCGGTGGGGGAGTATTTCGGGAAAAGGGGGGCTAAAGTTGGGACTACGGGGAAATAATGAGTACTAGGGATTATTAAAAGTGGATCGGGTATAGTTGGGATTAATAATACCAATTTTTCCATTTTTATAAGATTACCCAACACTAGGCATGGACTTGGGCCGGGCCAGGTTGAGCTCAGGCCCGGTCCCAGACGGGCTTTGGGACTTAGGAATACAGGCTCGGTACCGGCCCAGTTTATACCGATACCGGTTCGGGCTACCCGGCCAGCCTTGATCCGGGTGCGGGTCAGGCCTGTTTATTTTATATTTGTTTTTTTTAATTAATTCAACAAGTGTTAGACAATAAAAATTAGATGTGTATTTATTTGAAATATGAAGTACAATTGAGAATGATTTAAAACATTAAATACATTAAAAGGAAAAAATGAATTTGTAACCGCTAGGCCCAAACCGGTCCGGTCCAGGTATCGAGTCGGTACCGGTCCCAATCAATCGGGCTCGGGCCGGTACAAGCAGTACCAAGCCCGAGTTGAGTCAACCCATCCCACTCCATCCCTACCCGATGCTATCCAACTCATGTCCACCGCTAGCTATGCCCTTGTGCAATGGAATAACAAGTAAAATGGGAAACAATAACAGTAATTATATTATGCAGAATAGTTTTTTTATCCCATGTCTTGCGAGCTGGTTTTCTCGGTTTTCTTTTCCAACAGGTAATTTGGAGGGACGTTTCATTGAATTCCTCATGCTACTATGCTAGACACCCATTTTAGCACATTGCTCTATCTTCTTTACAAGATTGTACACAAGTCAAAAGTACTACATATAAATTTCCATTTTTCACGCACAAGGTTACGTTGCAACCAGTCTCAAGATGTACATATTGCTAGAGAAGGGTCAAACCAAAACAAAAATATCACGTCAAATCAAAACCAAGCCCCTTTGACTTGACAAATACTTTCTTAATTTAAGAAGAACAGTATCCCATTAGAATGCCAATCAAGCCAACCAGAAAAGCATACAGAATGGGAACCATTGCACGCTTGTGAGGATCTCGTCGCTTCAAAGATTCCTGCATAATACCATTAGCAAATAATTTCATCAATCATCTCAATCATGCTTAAGGGGGGCAAATTATACTTCAATATATATAAATAACGACAATATAGTGATATACTAAGAGCCCGTTTGGTAACACTAAAAGTGGCTGAATTGGCTGATTCTGCTGAAATTTATGAGATTATGGCTGAAATGACTGTATTGGCTTATTTTGCTAATTCATGAAAAAATTATATTTAAAATATTTGTTATTAATAAATTAAATAAAAAATTAAATGAAAAATAGCTAAAATGATCCTCTACAGTAACTTCAGCCAATCCAACCAGAAAAGTAACTTCAACTTTACTTTTTCTGCTTATTACACAATTCAGCACGTGAAATCAAAAATTACGTATTTGGTGAAAAAGTTGACTGATAATCCTGATAAGCCGAAAAGGGGGTCACCAAACAGGCTCTAAATAGATTTAGTATAAATTACCACTTGTAAAATAGATTTACTTTCAACCCAGAGGGGGGCATGCCTCGAAGCCCTGTTGGTAAGACTTAGGTGGGTGTCCTCAATTAGAATTTCATAAGATTTCAAAGGATTATGATTTTGATGGATTTTTATGGAATTGTACAGAATCCATGATATTCTAATGGAATTGTATAGAATCCATGAAATTTGAAATCTCCTCTGATTCTCAGCAATCCAAGAACTTCAAAAATGGCCCATGAAAAAGACCTGCGGCGGCTATCATGGATAAGTCTGAAACGAATGTCACTGCCTAGAGTCCGAATCGGGTTCAAGCTTGAAAACAGTCAAAGGGGAGGTTCTAGAGTGGAAAGGTGAGAGTCGGGCTTGACTTCAACAAACGATTTCACGGCCATGGCATTAGAGTGATGTGAGCAATAATAAATAGAGAGAGGCTGCTTGTTGTATAGTGGACCACTCTCTTTTACTTCTCCATATTATTTGGCAGGCAAGCTCTAGACATTCCTTCATTTGTTTTGGAAAGTAAAGCATTTGGTAAGCTTCATTTAAGCTGAATTAGGAAAAACTAAAAGGGAAAACTACCAAATAAGCCTTCGAACTTACATAAAAAGTTCAAATTACCCCTTTTATAGGAGGCTCTGTCCGACCGTCGCCATTTCGGGCGTTTCCCGGTGGAAGTTTTTGATGAAAATTTTGAGCATCTTATTCATTAAGTCTAGTTTACTCATACCAAATTTCAGCTAAAAATTCAATTGGGAAGACAATCAAATGAATTTTTGAATATAACTGCGCAGTTAGACAACGCAGTATATTTCGTAAAATCATTTGACTTCCTTATCGGTTGAATGTTTAGTTGAAATTTGATATGGGTAAACTAGACTTAATGAAGAAGATGCTAAAAAAATTAATCAAAAAGTTCCACTTGAAACCGCCCCAAATGGCGACGGTCGGACAAACTCTTTTTATGTAAGTTAGAGGGCTTATTTGGTAGTTCTCTCAAACTAAAAAGCAACTATCTTGTTTATCCTGCTAAGCAAAATAAGCTGAACCAAGCTACCAAAGAGAGCCTAAGATAGCTAGCAGTCCTGCAATAATGTTGAACCCAAGTGCCAAAAAGATGCATGAAATTCCACAAGGCTTTTTAAGGTTTCATGTTTGGGATAGAGTGATACGCTCACAGCCTCTCATCACATAAGTTTATGGACAAAGTAGAGCGAAAACAGAACGAGAAAGCCAAAATTAATTCAATGGGCACATGTGAAAACTCTTAAAATAGAAGCATTCTACATGACTGTTAATATTTTACCAGTAATACGCATTACTCTGCAAACAAAGTAATACTTCAATATATGTTCAAAATACTACCTTTTCCCATAATAGTACTACGTAATATGTAGCACTCTCGTAACTATTTACCTGTGCTTTAGAAAGTAAACAGATCAATGAGAATCTAAAAGCAAGTGCACACAACGTACCAACTCTCGTCGCAGTTTGCCATTTTTTTGAATAGTAGTATCCCGCTCATCCACTAATTTCAAAATTTGAACCTTAGACTGAATTCAAATTTCATACAAAATAAAAGAACACAATCAAGATAATAAAGCAGACAGTTAAAAATGGTGTGTTGAGACAATGGTAGGCTTAAAAGACATAAACATAATCATTTCTAATTTTTTAAGTGTGTATTGGCGAATGAGACAAAGATACGGGTGATGATTGATATGATAAACCATGCAAGTGTGCCTTAATTAAGATATAGGTTGGTTTCATCATAATCAATCAAACCATATACTTACTACAAATTCCAAACAGTATATCGCGATAAAACAAGATACTATGTATATCTTAAAAACTCACTGCAGAGTACTCGTTATGAGTCATCTTTTCGGATTTAGAAGTGATAGGTGGTGAAATTACTTCTTCAGGTTCTTCTGGGACTGGGGATGGTGGTCTTCGTGGCGTAACATACACAACTTTCAATTTGCATTCTTGTACATACTTTCCCACCTCCTTATTAAACTGCACAGAAAATACAAATTGATAATTCCCACCAACATGTTTATAAGAGTGCAAACAGTGGCGTAGATAGAATGGAAGTTCAAGAGGGACATGTTCTTCTTTTAGTATATATTTCAAAAAAAGCCCAGGCCCCCTCTTCCACTAAGTACAAATCTTGTCACACCATTTGGGAATGGTAATTTGGCTGAAATTGCTGGATATACTCAAATTTCAGAAGGGAAAATCATTTGGTGACATCCATTGCAGCCATAAGAATTAGGCCACAAGCTGCTTATTCTGCTTATAAACAGAATAAACCAGATATGGCTAATAAACAAAGTCTACTTTTGCAAAGAGATTTTTACCATCTCTTGGCAGATATCTTTAGGTGCAGCACCAGGGTGAGTAATCACACACTGAAGTAGAAATTTGTCTTTGCTTTGCATATCGAGTGGTGTCCCACTTTGAGCTTGCATTGTAACTAAAACCATTTATTACAAAAATCAACCAAAGGCAAACCCAAAAACGGTACATAAAACAAATAGTGCTTTATTTGGTGACCATAGTCGGCTTATTCTGCTTATTTGGCTGAAACAGAATTACCATGGCATCAAGCTCCTTCACATATTTCACCAGATTCAACTATTTCAGTTAAATAACCTCCTTTACTGAGAACTCACCTGTGACATTACACCTTGATCTAGGTAGGACGATGCCATAGTTCGGCCTTACAATATACTTCCTTGGATTAGTTGTCTTAACCTATAGTTATAACTTATAACTCATAAGCATAACATTTGACCAAAGCTGAAATGCAATTATGCAAATGTGCAGATTACAAGAGTAGTATCACCACCTCAACATCATAATAAACACCAACCAATACAGAGAGCATACCTTGAATGCAGCGTGATTATCTGTTCTGTTCAGCAACTCAAATGAACATGAGATTGGTTTTCTAAGCTCAACTATTGCAAAGAAGAAGAAAACGTAGTTAAAAAGGGATACACATATGAGGTGCTGAAATATAAAACCTCAACAACTGGGTTTCGCAAAATTGAAGTGATAAATATGCTTACATGGGAACTTGAGCTCGAAGTGGTTGATAGTCAATAGCTCTTCAGTGCTCATTCTAAAAGCCAAAGAGGAGGGGAAAAATTAATCGAATTTATGCAAGGGTTTATGGAGGAGTAATATACAAGAGAAGAAATAAGGGGAATATTTTCTTCCTGGTTGATGCAAAGATTCCATTTTACCATTGGTGGACTTCAAAGACAAAAAGATGACCACAAAAAGAGACAGACGAGTAGAAGGGATAACTTATGCAAGTCCATTTGTGATGCGCTATGAGTTGTTGTATTGGGAGTTGGGACCCCATTCCCGAGGCTTAGGGATTTAGAGGGGAGAAAGTAAATTGGACTTTAATAACAAGATGAAAGATAGAGAGTGGGGTTTACCTTTCGTAATTGCAGAAGCTCTATGCATTTTTAGCATAATAACCTCTCATAGCAATTGGTAGGATTCGAATCCGAGACTTACCCCTTGTGGCACCCCTATCTACCCGTTCGGTTTGGGAATCGTTTTCAAACCCCCCCCCCCCCCCCCCCCCCCCAAAAAAAAAATTACATTAACATAGTGGCAAGGTACATGATGCTTATAAAAGTTGCCAATTTCTAGTATTTTTACTGTATGCTCTTATATTGCATGTTTTTGCTGTGTATCTAAATTGCTTTTCTAAAGAGTGATACTCAACTTGATGGAGAACGTTACTGGTCCATAATTTGATTTTTGAAATACATTACTTCCAGCTCGTTTAGCTCATCGTAAATGCTCTAAAATTCATCACCATGACTTTAGATTCAAACTTTAGGTCCTATTTTGAGAAATTGACAACTATTTGAATAAATCTCCCAAAATCACGAGCAAATGGAATAAAACATCACCCACAGTCATGTTCAATGAGACTTGTCTTTGATCATGTGTGTCACCTGCCGTAAATAGGCAAAAATGAACGCAATAAATATAATACTACCTCCGTCCCAAAAAATACTTCCCGGGTTTGACTTGACACGCTTATTAGGAAAGTGGAATAAAGTGGAAATGTATGGTTGTAGTTGTGTAAGAAAAGGGTAAAATGAATGTGAGCCACACAAATTGTTCAAAAAGGGAAAGTGAGAAGAATTTTTGGGACAGAGGGAGTATTGTTTAATAGTGATCATTAAAATGATATCTATCGATAAAAGCATGACTAAAGGGATCGAATTCGCCTCCCGAGAAAAGTGTATACTCCCTTCGTCCCTAAAAATGCTTCCCGGTTTGACTTGGCACGCTTATTAAGAAAATGGAATAAAGTGGAAATGTATGGTTGTGGTTGTGTAAGAAAAAAGTGAAATGAATGTGAACCACACAAATTGTCCAAAAATGGTGAGTGGGAAGAATTTTTTGGAACGGACCAAAAAGGAAAGTGGGAAGGATTTTAATGTGTAGCAGAAAAATAAAATCAACGGGGTGAACCGTTGCCCAGATAATCAACGATAAAAATACCGTTGCCCAAAGCCAAAAGGCTAAACCAACTTTTATTCCCGGATAATCAGAATGAACCCTAGCAAGGGGTATAAATAGCTTCTACAAGAAACCCTAATCAAGCCCAAATTACTTAAACCCTAATTAAGCCCAATTTAACCTAACTAACCACTCTACTAATAATAGGCCCAACTAAAACATAATGATAAATTTTATAAATAAATAAAACTATAATCCCTAGCCCAGAACCGGCCCACGGAAGTGAGCCCAATCCCATTCCCGCCCCAGATTCTTCTTGCTCTCTATCAATCCATCCCCCTTCAAATAACCTTGTCCTCAAGGTTGTAATTTCGCAGATCGAGGACTGAAATTTCCAACCATGGAATAGACTGGAAAATACCCTTCATCGCCTTCCAGAACCTTTTCCCAACCAGTTATTTCACAGTACTCATGTTGCTGGAGGTCCAACTCCTCATCCTCCTCAGCTATCATTACCCGCAACTGCTTAAAGGGGCAGTCATGCCCTGATGTAAATGGTTTCTTACACCTAAAGCATAATCCTTTCGCCCGCAATTCTGCAAACTCTTTCGGCGGAAGTCGAGTGAACTGTGAGCGTGTCGTGGGCTGCCCGGACAGCCCTGACTTTGTCCCCGGAGGCTGCCCAATGTCTTTAGGAAAGCTGCCATTCGATCCTCTTAAGCTGCCACCACCTATGGTCGTGCTTTTACTGCCAGTTGGCCGCAAAAAACTGCTCGAATGCAAGTTTGTGTCGAAGGGTTGACTTTCCCAGTCTCCATCTTGAAAGGACAAGTTGTGCTCAATATCTCTGGCCAACTCCATTGCAATCTCCAGGCTGTTTGGCCGCAGCAATTGTAAGGATCCCCGAATCGGTCCCTTCAGCCCGTTCATGAAATACCCCAAATAGTGATCATCGGACAGTCCAGGAACTTGACTGGCCAACTGCACAAAAAGGTTATTGTATTCTTCTATGGTTCCCAACTGTTTGGCCCCGGACAGCCGTTCAAATCGGTTGCCCTTGAACCGTGAATCAAAACGGGCCACCAGTGCATCTGTGAATTCCTCCCAAGTCAGGCCCGGTTTCCGTGCCCTCAACCAGGTCAACCAGTACAGGGTAGCCCCTTCCATGGCTACCGTAGCTGCTGCCACTTTGCTTCCAGGTAGGGTTTGATGAAGTTCAAACTGCTGCTCAGCTCTGGCCACCCATCCGATGGGATCTGCGCCATCAAACGCAGGCAACAAGGTCGGAGTTGTGATGCGCGGCAAACCTTCGCCGCTGGTTGGAGTTGTGGTGCGCGGCAAACCTTCGCCGCTGGTTGGAGTTGTGGTGCGCGGCAAACCTTCTTCGCTGGGCGCGGTCGCTGCTGTGCTTTCGACGACCGCCGTGGATGTTTCCGGTGACACCGGCGGCACAAGTGCATGCGTCAGCGCTGCCAGGGAGGCGACGATCTCCGCCAGCTTTGCACCGTGGTCTTCGAGCGTCTGGTTCATGCGCTTCTGCTCGAGTGCCATCCGGGTTTGCTCAGCCCCCAGTCGGGCCACTTCCTCTCCCATTCGGTTCTGCTCGTTTTCCATCTCTGTCAAGCGTTCATTCTGAGTTCTGGTCATCTTGGCGGGACGGGATCCGGCAGGTCGGACCAATTAATGTGTAGCAGAAAAATAAAATCAACGGGATGAATCGTTGCCCAGATAATCAACGATAAAAATACCGTTGCCCAAAGCCAAAAGGCTAAACCAACTTTTATTCCCGGATAATCAGAATGAACCCTAGCAAGGGGTATAAATAGCTTCTACAAGAAACCCTAATCAAGCCCAAATTACTTACACCCTAATTAAGCCCAATTTAACTTAACTAACCACTCTACTAATAATAGGCCCAACTAAAACATAATGATAAATTTTATAAATAAATAAAACTATAATCCCTAGCCCAGAACCGGCCCACGGAAGTGAGCCCAATCCCGTTCCCGCCCCAGATTCTTCTTGCTCTCTATCAGATTTTCAGGGACGGTGAGAGTATTAATCTTGTGTATGCATTGATGTAAAATCAAGAGCTAGTAATACTTGATTACTTGGTGCATCACACCATATTATATTGGCACTCAAATGCACACAATGTTCACGGTAGTAGTCTTGAATATTAGAATTCATAATGTTCTCTATTAATGATGACCATGGATGACCATGAACTGAAGAATAACCAAAGCAATTGTTATTAGGAATCCCTTGTTATTAATGACGACTAGTAAACTCACTCATGCGATGCGCGGTCTGAGAATCTTTCTTTCAAATTTATGTGTGCTCATTAATTCAAATTACACTATCAGTTGATGACAACATCTGTCTCCATGGAATACTAATGTAGATCAAAACAATGAACGAAACACACTTATAATATTATGTTTAAAAAGAGAGCACTAACCATTACTTAAAAGATTAAAAACATCCATCAAATACGACAAAATCATAACATTGTAAATATGCATTTCATGTAAACTCAAACATTGTTGAACACTTCTTTAAATACAATATTCTGAGTCTTATCAGTGGTTCCTTCATCTTCACCGAAAATTAGAGTTTTCAAACCACAACGATTGGTAACCCTTGATACTGCAACATACAACTGTCCGTGTGTAAATACTGGGTTTTTCAACAACAATCCAACACGAGACAAAGATTGACCTTGACTTTTATTTATAGTCATAGCATATGAAGTCATAATAGGATATTGTCGCCTTTGAAATCTGAAAGGCAAGCTCGCATCGGATGGGGTCAAGGACAATCTAGGAATTAATATTTTTTGTCCAGCACTCTGACACCAGTTAAAATCTTCTCATGTAATACACCGTTAGTGAATTTTATCCTAAAACTATGTACGTAACTACACAACACATGTACCCTTGAAAGAGTTTCAGTTTAGATGAAATGTGTGGAACACCTGTGCGATTTATGGTTAGTTAAATTTCACATGTTCAATTAATTTCAGTCAAATTTGAAGTAAAACAAAACATGTAATTTTATTTGATTCATTTAGAATTATACTCTTACTGTATAAAAAGTTTGATATGAAATGAAATATATATTCAATACGACTTACTAATGATTACAGAGTGTTACACAAATGATTTTGACAATGAATTTTCCATTTTCAAAATTTTATTTACATTAATGAAAAATAAATTTTTATATAATGAGATTAAGTGGTAGGGTGACCATACATTAATACGAATTGCAAGGGTAAATATGTAAAATAGGGGGTGCAAATATGTGAAAATGCATTGTCATTCTTAAATTATACTTGAATATAAATTTGTAGAAAAATGTTCAAATAAATCATTCTACTGTACTGTTTCAAATTTGTCAGTTGAGTCATTATCATAAAATGGTAATAGTATCATTTAAGCATATTTACTTTTAAACACGTCTAATATAGCCACCTTGACTTAAGTAGTTCTTTTTATAAAAAAAAAGATAAGAGAATTGATTTTTTTCTATAAAAACACATACATTTTAAGAATATTTGAATAGAAATAAAAAAATGCATTAATAGGATGATCACTGGACCGTCCTAAACCAAAACAGTTTTTTGGGAAATATTTTTATTTCTACTTCTGTTAAAGATTTATTTTTCGATTCCTTTGCTCATTAAATAATTTATGATGAGTTTCAATTTACATATTTATGATAGATTTGGGATTATCTTTAATTTTGGACAAATCCAACCCTCAAATAAATTGCCAAACATGTATATAAAATCGGGCCATTTACTATTAGCCCGATTGCCACCATACATAATTACATACCCCTAAGGAACAACCCAATATATCAGAAACTCTCATAAAAGTCTCATACCTATTGTACGTTGGTATTGCATCGACCTAACCTAATCCCGGAACCTTCCAAAATCCAAAGCAAAAATATCTCTACACTAATATGTAAGGTTATCCACCACACCTTCAAAAGTTCTCCACCCCTAATCTATCCTAAAATCCTTCCTTCACGCAGCCGTTGGCGAACAATCCAGCAAAAAATAGCAAGAGTCTGTCTGCCGATGTTCATAGACATCGACAAAATAGCATCCGATGGCATGAACAATACTCGGAGCCACGACTGTAAGTAAAACGAAACTCCACTACATCGAAGCCCTGATGTTACTTGAGATTTTTTCATAATCCATCTCTTTAAATCGACACAATCAACTGAATTGTAAGCTTTCGATGTTTTCCACCGTGTTAGCCGTTTAAAAATTATATTTAAATAAACGATTGGTGAAAATATATATTATACAGATTTTGATTTAGTCAAAATAATTACATAAAGAATTAAATTGAGCGGTGAGTTTACAATAATTAGGAAGTGATGAATTATACTGCGTATAAGATATTAAATGATACTCCGTATAAAACATTTTAATACATCTTTTATGTGTATTGAATCCGAAGTCAAAATTACGGTCATTCATTTTGAAATTTGAATTTTGAAATAATGTCAAGAGACAATGGATTTGAGGAATATATTTGCTTCTATCTAAGATTTTAAATTTTTAAATAATATTAATGGCTATATATCCGAATATGTGGAATGTTTTTCCAATTTTTTGAATAACGCACAGGGAAACAACAACAACATAACCGAAGGTTTTGTTATAGATTTATTTCTTGAATTTTCATATTTACAAAAATCGGATAATGTACATAAATTGTTTACTTTTTAAAAGGTGTCCATTAAATTTTTCTGATAAAATAATTTCAAAATAATCTATTAAAATCTACAGTGCACTGACTCATACACCTTATTTTGAAATTGCCTTTTGTCATAGTTGTTGGGTGCTTTATTTATCCATTACTATATTGTTGAAGATAGACACCAATCTTCTTTCACGGCCACACCAATCTTTATAACAAAAAAGTGTTTTGCTATGTGTATAATAGCTTATCATAGAAACCAAATTTAGGGAATGTAGGAATGTTCTCACGTTGGGTGTGTTGTTTAAATGAACTTCTCAAAATACAAATATATTAAAACAAAGCAACAAAACCGTTCACATTGCTTTGTGTTGGGCAAAAAAAACTTAAAAAGTACAAAAATCCCATCAGTATTATATTCATTCAATATTCATTTTCTACAAAAAAGTGTTTTGCTATGTGTATTTTTTTCAATATTCATTTTCTTTCCCTCAGTAAGCACAGTAGAACTCATTCCTACTTTAAGATCAGAATTAATGTACTTCCAATGTACTTTAATCATCCAAATGTTTTAGTGGATTAGCTTCTAGATATCCAACACAATCCTTGCAATATAATTTTTTTCAAACAAACCATTAATTATCCAAAACATCCCCCACAGTTTAATGCACCGTAACTTGAAATATCAATAGACTGATATTTGCAGCGAACACTTCAAAACCTTGCATCTTCGGGAATCTGTTTGTGAATCTCTAATCCCTGCTAAATATAATGTCTTCAGGGTCTGAATTAACCAATCTAACAATATAAGGCATGCCAAGAATATAAGATAGAACTAATAACATGTAGAACTTCTTTGTGAAATGCAATTTCCATAGTGATTCTGGGTAACATCATTAGCAACTTCTTCATGATACACCTAAATAGCTGTACGAATCCATACCCAAGTAGTAGCTTTAGTGTGGTTAATATCTCGACCACACACCAAATATGTTGAAAGAATGTCAATGATTTGGCGTTGGAGTATTTCTGAGCGGCATAAGATGAGTAAACTGTCCGACTAAAGCACATATTTATAGCAACATTTGGATTCAAAAATGTGGTTGCCTAATAATGGAGTTAAATATTTTGGTGTATAGGTCGAGCAAGCTTCACATCAGAGAAAGTGACTGATCAATGAAATGAAAACCATACTTCGCAACTTGCAAGCATGGGCAGAGTCAGGACATTCAATGCTGCGGAGTACTTGGAAAGACATACACGCATAAATCACTTTAAATTACTATTCACCTCTGAAAAGTGATAATTGTACATATTAAAATATTAGTTTCAATTGTACGCAACCGTGACTTCTTTATTTGTTTTATTTTTTCACTATTCATCTTGATGTTGAGAGTTTTGGGAGGGAAACCTGTAGCAAAAAAATCTTATGCTTTTATATATTAATAGATGATGAGAATCTTGGAGATAGGAAATATTAGTTTCAATTGTACGCAACTGTGACTTCTTTATTTGTTTTATCCTATCTAGTTCTGTTACATCTCGTGCCAGTAAGCGTAGGGTATAGATCGATAAAGATAGAGGCAAAAATAACAGCTATGAGAAAGGAAAAAACAAAACGTCATTATTTTTCTAAAATAAATCAAACTTGAATGACTAAAAAGACCTCAACCATCAAAATTATCTTGTCTTGACTTTTGATCAAACACACATTAATCCAATTAGTATAGATGATCATGATTGATTTGTATTTTGTAACTTAGGTGAAATATATATATATATATATATATATATATATATATATATATATATATATATATATATATATATATATATATATATATATAATCCTTAATCGTGACTAACGTGATTATGTGTAATTGTGTATAATTTTTTAGTCACTATAACTTAAAATTGAAGATAATTATATGAACTAAAAGTTATCAATATTATCATTTTGTATATAAAATCACATTTTTACGATCATTTTTATATTGGTCATATAAGATATAAGTGTCATTATTTTTTATAATAATATCTAAGTTAAACTAAAAATACATGATAGAGTATATCTAGAGAGAAGTGAGAGCTAGAGAGAGAAGTGCAATAATATGCTTCAATAGAATGATTTCGTAACCCCTATAACTACTCCCAAGGGGAGTATTTATAGAGAAAATTAGGGTTGGGCTCCCAAGCCTTGGGCTTGGGAGGCCCATTTACAACTGGACCGCTACTGGGCCGAATACAAAGCCACTAATGGGCTGTACAAGTGAGTAAGTGTAGGATCCGATTCTGGGAGGTCCTCGTGGCCGACGAGGTCGTGGCCGACGAGGGCACGGCTGACGAGGGCACGGCCGACGGGGGCACGGCTGACGAGGGCACGGCCGACGGGGGCACCCGGGTTCCTTGGACTCGGGATCATAATCCGGGTTGGCTTCCTCTCGGCCGACGAGGGCACGACCGACGAGGGCACGGCCGACGGGGGGCACCCGGGTTCCTTGGACTCGGGATCATAATCCGGGTTGGCTTCCTCTCGGCCGACGAGGGCGTTTGACCGACGAGGGCGCCACTCTGTCTTGTGCTCTGTTCTTCCGAGTATGTGGGTCCTGGGGCTCAGACCCATATACTCCATCAATACATTAATCACAAAAACTCAGTTTCATCTGGATATGTTAAACATTTTTTTGAAAACTATGTTAAACATTTGGTACACAAAATGAATAGAAATAATATACTCCCTTCGTCCCAATTTTTTCTGCGAAAAATCATTTTCTAGTCGACCAATAAAAAAGCCAGTGCTCTCTATTGATTATTAATTCAATTTTTAATAATTAAAATTTATATATTCAGAAACTACATTAAAATCTCTTCGAAGTTCTAAACTTTAAATTAGAATATAATTAAAATTTGACATCCTAATTAGGTGAATTAAATAAAACTATATCAAGAAGAAAAGTTAAATTTGAAAAAGGTATTAGTTGCTGGATGAAGTGATGAACAAACGAAAGATTACCTTACCTTATGCGTCGGAGCAAGAAATTTCAACAAAGGGCCGTTCGTCGGTTATCACTGGGCACACACCGCAAAGCAACTGCTCTGTTTAACGGTCATCAGAAAACATTGTGATTGAAGAGACGAAGTCACGAAGACACTGAAGAGTTCACTGGTCAATGCTGTTGTCGATCTAGTTGTGATCCGGCGGCGAAGATGATGGTGGATTTGAGCTCCTTTTCTGACGAGAGATTCGACCCCAAGCAATGGATAAACGATGTCTGTCAGTCGCGGCATCCGCAGGACCCGCTGGACAAGCACCTGGTGGATCTGGAAATGAAGCTTCAGATGGTCTCCGAGGAGATCGCCGTCGCACTTGAGGAGCTCAGCGCTTCTTCTCTTCACCGCGTCCCTCGTGCCACACGGGACGTTATCCGCCTCCGTGATGACGCCCTCTCCCTCCGCTCCTCAGTCGCTTCTATCATCCAGAAACTCAAAAAGGTAGTTTGTCCTTCCTTGTTTCTACTACTGGAATCGTTTCCAGTTTCAAATAAAAACTTCGGATATGGTGTGCTAAATATTTAATAATATTTTGGAAATTAGTAGCCATCAATTGGGTGCATCTGTGGAACATGTTCAATATTGTAGTGCATACATAATATACTTATGATAATCATCGTATGCATGTTTTGTACTTTGCTTTTGACATTTGTTTCCTAATTTCCCTGCTGCATCTATAGTCTTTGCACGTTGTAGCTAATGTAGAGCATAGGGTTACTCTTCTTGATACTGAATTCCCATCATAGGCAGAGGGATCATCTGCAGAGTCCATTGCTACACTTGCAAAAGTCGATACTGTCAAGCGAAGAATGGAAGCTGCCTATGAGACATTGCAGGTGCCACTCTTTGCATTTAATCTTCCATTCATGTCTTTTACAATTGAGTGCTTAAATAGTACCATGTAGGGTCTGGTTCTAAATCTTACACCCTGGTATGTGACCTCTTCATGAAGTTGCTCTTATGAAATAGTAAATACTACATCTGCTAATGGACAGGATGCAGCTGGTTTGGCTCAACTAAGCTCAACTGTGGAGGATGTATTCTCAAGTGGCGATCTCCCACGTGCTGCAGAAACTTTGGCAAACATGAGGCACTGCTTGTCTGCTGTTGGTGAGGTACACCTTTAACTGGCTGTCATTCTTTGTCTTAAGTCGTGTTTTACTGGGCTCCAGATGCTGTAGCAATAGTGGTAAAATTTCAGGTTGCAGAATTTGCTAATATAAGGAAGCAACTTGAAGTCTTAGAAGATAGGCTGGACTCGATGGTGCAACCTCCCTTGATAGATGCCTTAAGCAATAGGAAGGTTAGTATAATGTCGCATTTTCCCTCTTCCCTCTAGTATACGGAGTAATATTTTCACTCCCTATCCATTTGAATGCTTGTATCTCTATAGACACTTAAAAAAGGAATTTTGAATGCAAGTTTTTTTAGGTTGATGTTGCTCAAGAAATGAGGGGAATTCTCAAAAGAATTGGGAGATTCAAGTCATTAGAATTGCAATACTCAAAGGTCCACCTCAAGCCTATAAAACATCTTTGGGAGGATTTTGAATTAACGCAACAGGCAAATAAGGTTTCAAATGAAAAGAATGAGATAGAAAGGATGTCACGTGCTCATAATCTACAATTGAATTCGTCAACTACTTCCTTTTCACGCTGGCTTCCCAGTTTCTATGATGAATTGCTGCTTTATCTTGAACAGGAATGGAAATGGTATGATTTGATTTTCTTTTTAGCAACCTTTCAGATTTGTGTGTGCCAAGTGTGGATATACTTCAAATTCATTTTTTTAAATACAGCTATGTTGAAGGTTGAAATTTTATGTTAGAGTAAATCAAATCTGTTTTTACTCTCTTCTGCAGGTGCATGCTTGCTTTTCCCGAAGAATATAGAACTCTTGTTCCAAATCTACTAATTGAAACGATGTCAACCATTGGTGCAAGTTTTGTATCATCTATCAATCTAGCTGCTGGGGAGGCTGTCCCCGAGACTAGATCATTTGCCAAAGGTTATTTGTGGTACTCTTTCGGAGTTGTCTGTAGTCTTCTTTCCTATTGATGTGTGTGTCAATTGTGTGGCAGCCTTGCCTTTTCTATCATATCTTGTATACTTTTTAGCATGTAGCATGTCACAAACTTGGGATGGCGTGAAATTGTGAAAGAAAGTTTGGTGAAACTGTGAGATGTCATTCAAGTAACAGAAATTTGCTCAGTAATTTTTTACTTGTGTTCATGTCATTACTTAGGAATTTGGATGGTGTGAAACTGTGAAAGAAAGTTTGTTTATGATAGTTTCAGTGTGTTTACCATATTAGAATAACCCAAATGAGAAAGTGTCACTTAAAAAGAGACAAGGCGGGTTTCATAAATCATTTGCATGGGGCTGTCACCTTGTAAGGAAATGTCTGTATTTTTCTCTTGTGCGTGTGATTTTATATCTTGATTTCATCATTGATGGTTTATATGAATCAATTTTCTATGCAAATAAATTTGGTCATGCCAGTATGGCTGTCTAAAAGAAGTATGGGGTTTTAAATAAAAACTTCATTTGCATGGGGCTGTCACTTTGTAAGGAAATATCTGTATTTTTCTATTGTTTATGTGATTACTGATTACATATCTTGAATACATGAAAGATGGTTAATATGAATCACTTTTCTATGCAAATAAATTTGGTCATGCCAGTATGACTGTCTAAAAGAAGTATGGGGTTTTAAATAAAAACTTCATGTACATATGATGACCTTATTAAAAGAGAGATAAATATCTGTCATATCTAGTTTATCTTCCATAGTACATCGTAGTTGTACTATATCTGCAGAGGATCTTAAATCTTTGCTCAGATTTCTCAAATTTGCAGGTATCGTAGACATCTCAACTGGAGATTTGTCGAAGGGTGTTAAGGTTCAGACAAAGCATTTGAATGCCCTAATTGAGCTTCACAATATAACAGGGAGTTTTGCGAGGAATATCCAACACCTATTCTCAGAAACAGACCTTCAAGTTATGCTGGATACTTTGAAGGCTGTATATCATCCTTTTGAATCATTTAAACGACGGTGAGCATATGTGAAGTAAAATTATAATTAATGGTCCATGATATCCTTAAAGCATTCTTTTCTGAACCCTGATTTGGCAGTTTTTTAGTTTACCAAACTGAAAGTAATCTATAAAAGTATTTAAATTAACACAAAAAATAAAAGGTAGTAAAGCAGTTCTTTTTACCCCTGCTTTTTATTGACCTGCTCTGCCAGACTTTTTTCGTGGGAAGGATAAAGGATATGTTGTCATAGAGGGAAGTTTTGATTACCTTAACTTAGTATAAGTATTTGTACAATGTTGGGGATAATTATTTACCTTTTCAGAATGTATGCTCGGATGAATTTGGTCATGCGAGTATAAAAGAAAAAGAGAGGAAAGATAGAAAAGCGATCAATCGTCCACACGAACGTACGCCGTCCACTTTGCTCTCTCTAAAGCCATACTCTCATCCAACCCAAGAAGACGCATATTCGTTCTGATTCCTCTAATCCAAGTTTGTGGTCTTCCTCTCCCTCTCCTCTCTGTCTCTTCTCCCCACACCTCAAGTCGTTCTACGCACATGCCCAAACCACCGCAAACGAGACTCCTGCACCTTATCCTCTATAGGTGCTACTTCCACCTCTTGTCTGATTATCTCATTCCTCAGGCGGTTTTTTCTGGTATGTCCACACATCCAACGCAACATACGCATCTCTGTCACACTCATCTTTTGAATGTGACATTGTTTCACCGCCCAACACTCTACGCCATACATTAATGCAGACCTAATTGTTGTTCGTTAAAATTTACCTTTCAGTCTAGTCGACATACCTCGATCGCATAGAAATCCTATTGCACTCTTTCATTTCATCCACCCAGCTCTGATTCTATGGGATACATCTCCATCTAATTCACCATCCTTTTGAATTATGGAGCCCAAGTAACGAAACATATCACACACCGGTATCTCCTTAACATCAAGAGTAATCCCACTGTTGCTACTACTTCTACCTTCACCAAACTTGCACTACATATACTCAGTCTTGCTTCGGCTCAGTTTGAAGCCCTTGGTCTCCAATGTTTGTCGCCATACTTCCAACTTTGTTTTAATCCCTAGTAGTACATCTGTTTAGGGAAAATACATGTGATATGTTCTATTCCGATTTAGAGAAGTCTCCCTATTATTATATCCCTAAGTTGTAATGTTAATACAGGTCTCTTTATGTACTGTTTGATCTCAATTTAGAATATACTTCTAGAAATTTTGAGTAGGCGTGCTTCTGATAAGAATTTAGGCTTCACTTTATTTTTTTTGAGTGAATTTAGGCTTCAATTAAGAAATTGTGATTAATATTTTTATCTCAAGATTGCTACAACTATGTCTTTAACCTTGCAAGTATTAAACTTTCAATGCTTTTTTAACTTGTATCAGCAGTTGCAGGTTGTTCACTTGTTTGCTCCCAGGATTGGAATAAATTTTCCTTTATTGTTCCCATGATTTAATCTCTACTGTTCGGTAGAAAACAATTCTTTCTTATCAAGAAATGTGTCTTTGTAGGCTCACCCTTGGTATTATTTATTTTGCTACATTACAAAGAAAAATAGAAGCTGAATTGATGAATTGACCTTGATCTTTAACATTACCGCACCCTTGTATGGATCTTTAAATATACATCATGCAATTCTTTTTTACTGACTTTCTGCCTCATTGATCTGTTGTCAGGTACGGGCAAATGGAGCGTTCCATTCTCTCTGGTGAGATTGCAGGACTTGACCTAAGAGGAGCTGCCATAACTCTTGTAGGAGTCCAGGGAGTTGAACTTAGTGAAACAGTTCGGAGGATGGAAGAGTCAATCCCACAAGTGATTCTACTTTTAGAAGCTGCCGTAGAGAGATGCATCAATTTCACTGGCGGTTCTGAGGCGGATGAACTCATCCTTGCATTGGATGATGTCATGCTACAATACATTTCCACCATGCAGGAGAATTTGAAATCTCTAAGAACAGTGTGTGGTTTGGATTTTGATGCTTCTTATGGTTCAAGGAAAGAAATCGGGTCAGATAACAGGAGGGGGGAAGGAGCTTCCAACTCGCGTAAGGCTGACTTCACATCAAATGAGGAAGAGTGGTCATTTGTCCAAGGCGCATTGCAGATTCTCACGGTTGCTGAGTGTTTGAGCAGCAGATCGTCAGTCTTTGAAGCTTCCCTCAAGGCTACCCTGGCTAGATTGAGTACTAATTTGTCATTTTCAGTATTCGGTTCAAGTCTTGATCAGAACCACTCACATGATGACGGGAGTGGGCAGGTGTCTGTAACAGGACGGGCTGCTTTGGACGTGGCAGCTGTGAGGCTTGTTGGTATTCCTGAAAAAGGTCGGAAACTTCTTAATCTATTGGAGCAGGTACTCACTCCCTATGTGGTTATTTGGTTCTAAATAATACTTGCTATATTCATCTGCAAGCATTTATAAATCAAGTATCAAACTGAGCTAGAGCTCGGCTCATTTTTCAATCAAAGGATCCAAGTTCGAGCATAAACAAGCCAAACTCAAACCATGCTTGTTTTATATAACATCATTATCTAGAAGTCATTTCATTTCCCTTAGATCTGGGAGCCTCCTGGTCAATGCTTTTACTTTTTTCTATGTATGTTGCTTATATTAAGTTCATGATTAATATTTAAATTATCACTTTGGTAATTGTTGTAGTCTAAGGATCCCCGGTTTCATGCGCTTCCAGTTGCTTCTCAACGAGTTACAGCTTTTGCTGACGCTGTTAATGAGCTTGTTTATGATGTGCTTGTATCAAAAGTACGGCTGCACTTGAATGATATATCTCGGTTGCCTGTATGGTCTTCTGTTGAAGAACATAGTGCTCGTCCCCTCCCAACATTCAGTGCATATCCCCAATCTTATGTTACTAACGTTGGTGAGTATCTGCTTACGTTGCCCCAACAACTAGAGCCACTCGCAGATGGAATTTCCAACTCTGATGCTACCAATGCTGATGAGGCTCAGTATTTTGCCACGGAATGGATGTTTAAGGTAACTCAATCTTACTCTACCTCTGTTCTTTAATAACAGACACTTTAGCACTTGGGGGTTGGTTAGGAGATATCAATGGGAAGAGAAAGGAAGTTGTGAACCTGTGATTGATATTTACTTCATTAAAGTATTCTAACGCATGGTTGGGAAGAAAGTGAAGATGAACAATCATACGAACGTACATGGTTTAACTAAATATATAGTTATTGTTTAATGCAAGACTACAACAACAACAATAACAACTTCCAAGCCTTAGTCCCAAAAGATTTTGGGTTCGGCTAACATGAATAGATACATGATATCGGAAACAAAAGGAAAAGAAAGATAAGAAAGAAAAAAATAAGCTATGATAAAAAAAGATATAGGATATACATAAAAATGATAGAATAAAAAAGATTAAAGAAAACACACACGCACACATATATACAGATAAAAGGATAAAAACACAAGAAAAAGAAGATGAGGGGAAAAAGATGATAAGAGATCACTCCGCCACACAAATACCTGCCTTCCACTCTGCTCTCTCCAAACCCATACCCTCATCCAACCTAAGAAGAAACATATCACTTCTGACTCCACTAATCCACGTCTGTTTAATACAAGACTAATAAAAACAACCTATTGTCCAAAATCCCCCAACCGAACAAGTCACCTCCGCAGTTACTCTTTTCCATCCATAAATAATAAATGCAGAGAGTAGTACTTTAAAACATTATGGCCTTGTGGGCGTGTTTGGAAAACAAATCAAGAGAAAAGGTAAGGTAGTTCCACTTTCCAAATCATTTACTCCGTATATAGTTTGGTAGAGTGAAAATGGGGGAAAATATTTTTGAAATTTTATGAGCCCCACACAATCACACTGAAGTATTTTCATGCTAAAATCAGAGGAAGTGAAGATAAGTTCATCAGGCTTTGTGCCATTACTAGGACTGAGTAACCAAAACATACAGACTGAGTAAGTTCCGCTCGGAAGTAGGGTCCGGGGAGATTGAAATGTATGTGGAACTTACCTCTACCCCTAGGAGTAGGGAGCTTGCTTCCGTGAAGAAAGCTGGCTAAAGGAAATTTTTGAAGTTTCAGAAACCCTTTCAACTTTTGAGAGTTGAAGAAAAAATTGTAGAAAAAACAAGACACCCAAATGTGCAAGCGAATACCACTTCTATATTCATTTAAGGATTTTTATATACCAAATCAAATGATTTTATTCTATTTCTAGACGTCTAGTGTATTTCTTTTCAGCCATACAACTTTTATTTCTTTCCATTTCTGACATATTTCTGTTCTTTTCTTTAATCACATTACCCTGCCACCGTTGCTTCCCTCCCTAACAAACATGACCTAATAGGGTTATAGGGGTACTCTATCATTTTTGTAGTATTTATATCATAACTTGAAATAAAACTTATTGCATTCTAATATTTAAGCAAACCACTTATACAGTTATGCTGCACTTAAGAGAAGGGATGGTAGTATGTAGCTTTATTTTTATGCTGCATTTAGTATCAATTGATTCTAATTTTGGCCTTACTATTAGGCCATTCTTATTTTTGGTACCCAACTCTCAATTTTACACTTTAGTCCCATGACTATAGATTATTTTTCACTTGTGGTCGTTCCAGTAATTTTTCCGGCTAATTCCCATGCAATTTTCAGTTGATTTTCACCAGAAAAGTGTCCAGAAAGACCATAACTGTAAAAAACTATAGTCAAAATGCTGAGTACCAAAAGCAGGAATAACCAGTCATAGGATCAAAACTGGAGTTTTTTCATTAGAAGAGTTGAGAACCTTATTTCCATGTCCCTAAAAATAGGTTGCAGAAGGCGCTACTGGTCTATATGTGGAACAATTGCGCGGCATCCAATATATCACGGATCGTGGAGCCCAGCAGCTGTGTGTCGACATTGAATACCTAAGCAACGTGCTGTCAGCACTATCGATGCCCATCCCACCTGTTCTTTCCACCTTTCATTTGTGTCTCTCAACACCTAGAAATCAGCTAAGGGAATTTGTGAAATCTGATTCTGGAAATCAGCTTGATCTTCCTACTGCCAATCTTGTGTGCAGAATGCGGCATGTTAGTTTGGAGTAATGGTTTACAGGTCCGGTGTTCACATCGGGGCAGTGTCCTTTCAGGTCCAGTTGTCTTGTGTGCGCTCATTTTTGTGTGTACAGATTGGTGTCATCATATCCATCTTTCCCCCCATATATGTACTGCATTTTAGTGTAAAAACTGCAGAGAAATAATCCATTGTCTTCGGGATTTGAATTTTCCCTTTTTCAGTGAACCGTTCTTATAAGTTGTTTGGTTTGGAGGAAATAATATTTTAAATCCCGGGAGAATAGAAACAAAGCAGAAGATCCATTACTTGGTTGGTGAAGATGAACTTACTGCGAATGCAAATTTTAATGTTTGCTAAAGTATGTAATTCATAGTGATGAGTACAAAGACTAAATCGCCAAATTGTCCACTTTTACCACTTTAAGATTATTTATTGTGTCAACTTTGGAATTGTTATGGAAAATAATAGACTTCCAAGGCCTCGACCAAGCTAAGGCAGTAAGGCGTTTCGCCTTTTATAGGGAGAAAAGTAATTTCGTTATTTTAAAAAACTCCCTGGTTTAGTGAGGCCCGGTAATTTGTTCAAAGGAAGGACGTGTAATTTCTATAGGTTAGCGGTTAGCCTTCAATTAAAGATGTACGGAGTATTTAATTTAACAGAAAGGGAAATATATTATATAATAAGATCAATTCTAAAAAGAAAAAGGAAAAACGAGTCACATGATCTGTTGAGTTTTAGTCTCGTAGATCCGGAAGCCCAACATAAACTTCGGATATTAAGGACCATGGATTCGGTATAAAAGTAATAAATATATGTGTATAAACTAGCTATTTTCACGCGGAAACCCGGAAAGGGAGAAGATCATGGGACTGTTTAGGCTAACGTCCAAGCACGCTCTTTCTCATTAATATGCTTTCCTCACCATATTTACATAATACAAATATTAAGCTCCATTAATGGAGTCTTCAACAAGCTAATCTAAAGGGGGTGGGGGAGGAAGAATTCTCCCAGCAGAGAAGAGGAAAAGCAACCTCCCTCAACTGGAAGCTTAACTTCCTATTTATAGAAGGGGAGGGAACCCCTTTTATGCCAATGGGCTGAAAAGGCCTCAGTGGGCCAAAGCAGGCCTAAGTAGGCCGAGTAGGCCTAAATGGCTCCAAATGGGCCCGAGGGGTCTAAACCAGCCTCGCAGACTGGGCCCCGTACCGGGGCGGTGTATTGAGCCTCTAAACAGTAGTGGGTCGGGATAATATTCCCCAACACAAGTCCCTCAGTTTCTTGAGTAGTGAGCTTGCAAATCTACTCGAGAAAGTATACTCTTGCTCACATCCTTTCCTGCCATCCCTGAATCAGTCTTTGAATAATCTTGGGCGCAAGGCATGCATAATCCATAAATGAGGTGCAATCCCGTACTAGGCACGACGGCGCTGTAGAGCCAGCCGCTCGTGCTGCATAAAAGTGACGGTCGCCATCCTAGATTAAGGATTGACGAGCCCGATAAAAAAGGAGGCACGATGGCACTGATGAGCCATCCGTTCGCTGCATAAAGCGGCGGTCGCCATCCTAGATCAAGGATAGACGAGCCTGACCGAGAGTCAGGCACGACGGTGTTGTGGAGCCCGTTCGTGCTGCATAAAGCGGCGGTCGTCATCCTAGATCAAGGATGGACAAGTCCGATCGAGAGTCAGGCACGACGGTGCTGTGGAGCCCGTTCGTGCTGCATAAAAGCGGCGGTTGTCATCCTAGATCAAGGATGGACGAACCCGATCGAGAGTTAGGCACGACAGTGCTGTGGAGCCCGTTCGTGCTGCATAAAAGAGACGGTTGTCATCCTAGATCAAGGATGGACGAACCCGATCGAGAGTCAAGCACGACGGTGCTGTGGAGCCCGTTCGTGCTGCATAAAAATGGGCCTTGCTGTGATATGGACTTACACTGCCATGGTCCTTACGTGGCCATCTGTGGGAAGGAAGGGACCTGACTCAACTCTGACAAACGTGGACCTGACTCGACTCGACTCGACCTGGATAAACATGGACTCGACTCGACAAACATGGACGCGACTCGACTCGACACGACAAACATGGACTCGACTCGACTCGACACGACAAACATGGACTCGACTCGACTCGCCATCCTCCAAACCCATAGTTCTGATGATCCAGGCCACCCATAGATGTATTACTCTTGATTTCTTTTGTACTTTCCGACCAGTAGTGTTGAAGAATAAAACTCGATAGTTTCCTGATCATAATATCGCATTATCCGTGTTGATCTATATTTAGTGTTTTGACATCATCTCCAAACCGTTTTGATCCCTTTATTCATTCGTAAATACAGGGTCAAATTCTGTTAGCTGAGATGATGGCTCCCTCCAAACTGTTAACACATTTCTCATTCGGTCATCCGAAATGATTTTACGTGTTAAAAGCTGAGGTGAGACTCTCTATCTTCCAAACCCAAAATTCTGATGTAGTCCGTCCGGTTTTTTCTGATCCGAATCATCCTTATTAGGGGTTTGAGATGACCATCTTCAAACTATAACCAAGATCCCCGGATCGGATCATTCCTTACTTATAGCTAAAATGGCGACTCAGTTCCAAATCAAGTTAATGACTGAGGCGAGATTTTAAAACCATAGTTCCGATCCCCCGGACGAATAATCCATGTTACCGAACGTCGCTCGGTTCATCCATACTTATAATTTTGACACCATCTCCAAGCCGTTTTGATCCCTTTATCCGTTCGTAAGTACAGGGTCAAATTTTGTTAGCTGAGATGATGGCTCCCTCCAAACTGCTAACATGTTCCTCATTCGGTCGTCCGGAACGATTTCCATGTTAACCGCTGAGGTGAGACTCTCAATGTTAACGTTCGATTCTTCTATACTAGCGGTCAAAGTGACATTCGGGGAGCCCTGAATTCCTTGTCTCTATCTCTCTTTTTTTTTATATAGTGACTCTCAATGATGATCACATCGTGCCAGGGTGGCCGATTGTGAAGGTATAGAAGTTGTCAATGATGATCCGAACAATAAGTCTCCCTCTGTGGAGTGTGAAGATGCTTTCAGAGGTGATAAACTGCATAAGACGGTGGTCCTCCCTTTGTAAAGGCGTGGGAGGACCCGACCGTGATCAAGAATGTCCGGGGGTCTTGCAGGCACCTCCTGCCCGTGATACGATGACGCTGAGGGGCCGATCGTACTGCATAAGACGGACATCCTCCCTCTGTAAAGGCGTGGGAGGACCCGACCATTATCAAGGATGTCTGAGGGTCTTGCAGGCTTCCCCTGCCCGTGAAGATTGCTCTAGGTTCCGAACGGTGGGTCCGAATTGCTAGTCATGGAGTTCTCTGGACTTTCCACGTGTCGTGATATCTACACATTTGTAGTCTCTTCTTTTCTCAATCGGCCATGAATTTCTCTGCGCATCAAGCTGAACATCATTTATCTTCCTTCTCGGGAATCTCGAACGGCTCTGAACGGTATCTCATAGGACTTCTCTCCTGTTTTTTTTTCATGAACGTCTCTGTGCTTCGTGATCTCCCCGTTCGAGCTGACCGAATGGCTCTGCCTGAATCTCTTTACGTTGCCAGTCACGAACATCTCTGCGTTTCGTGATCTCCCCGTTCGAGCTGACCGAACGGCTTTGCCTGAATCTCTTTACGTTGCCAGTCACGAACGTCTCTGCACTTCGTGATCTCCCCGTTCGAGCTGACCGAACGGCTTTCCCTGAATCTCTTTACGTTGCCAGTCATGAATGTCTCTGCGCTTCATGCTGAACATCATTGATCTTCCCGTTCGAGTTTATCGAACAGCTTTGCCTAATTGTGATTTCTTCTTTTCTTTGTGGGTCATGAACATCTCCGCGCTTCATGCCAAAAATCATGGATCTCCCAGCTCGAGCATGTCGAACGGATTCCACTGCACAATAAGCAAAGTAATACGGCCGCACGGCCGAACAACATATACCAGTATATACACACACAAGTATAACATTTCTTTTGTTTCATTCATGACTACCGGCCAAGTGCTATAATAACCCTCGGCCTAGATTTATTTTTCGCACTGCTCAGGTGCTATCAGAACCACTTAGTGGTTTGCCGGGCGTTTCCAAGAAATAACAACTTTAGTTAATCAAACTAAGTACTTCGCCCCGTACTGGCCATGGTTGCCGTTCGGTCATTTTGTGCCGTGTGAAACCATGTACGGTTTTTAAATTAAAGTGTGTCATCGGGCAATGCCTTTGTGAGACACTCTCAGTCAGCTAATTTGAGCCGATCGGGATGGGCCGATAGGCCCTACTAAAACCAATCATTTAACTAAATGACGATGAAGTCATTACCAGAGCTTCGCTTGACATTATTTAATTCGGGATATTTTTAATCCCTATTAAATAATGATGGTAACAAACATTCCTAAAAATGTTATTTGAATTTAATTCGCAAGTGAGAGATTGGGTACTTAGCTGAATATTGGCCCGAAGATTTTTAATCGACCAGTGGTGACCCAACCCATAGTTAATATGGTAAACCCAAGTGCAAATAGCCAAGTATACCGCACATCCTCTCCCTGCCAATCGAGACTTCCAGGGTAAATGCTCAAATGTATCTCACAACGCATCTTCTCCGCTTGCCGATCGAGACTTCCAGAGCAAATGCCCAAAAGAATCTCACCGCAAATCTTCTCCGCTTGCCGATCGAGACTTCCTGAGTGGCGGAAATCCGTGCGGCATGGTGCCGGATGGCCTTCGCACTCAAATCGACCCGGAGGATGGACGGTCTGTACGCCCCGGATGGCTGAGACCGAGCTGTGAGGTGATCTATGGCCGGACTTGCTGTTTCTCCTCTGAATCACGGATGGTGTAATATTTGCCATATCGAATGGAAATGTTATTGTATCAAATGGTTCCAATTCTAAAATCGGACTGTATCATTCTCACCCTATCGGGAACAAGCTTTGCGCTTTGTTTGAATACTTGGGCTATTTTCATATCCCCGTCCTAACATGGTCCTCCTACCCGAAACTATGGACCAGTCCAGTCCTAGGTGGTAATTCTTGGTTCCATGCTTTGTAGTAACTAGACATGGACCTGGGCCAGTCCGGTTCCGGTTTCGGGCCAGGCCCGAGCGAGCTTTTTTTTCAAATGGTTGGGCCAGGATCCGGCCCGGGTTGATACCAGGTCCGGTCCTATCCGGGCCGAGCCGGACCCGGTCAAGTTAAAATATTTTTTTTTGCTTTCTAACTAACCCCCCCCCCCCCTCACCCCCACCCCCCCCCCCAAACTCCCCCAAAACACCCAGCCCTAACCCAGAAAAAGCAAAAAAAAAAAGGAAAAAAAAACTTGGGCCCGACCCGAACCGCTCAGGCTGGTTCAACAAATACTGGGCCCAAGCCCGGCCCACCCACCCCTCCCCAACCGGGCAAAAGCCCGAACCTAGTTAGCACCAACCGGGCCAGTCCAGGCTGGCACAGTGGCGGGCCAGGCCGGTTCTAGGCGGGGCCGAACCAGTTGGGTCCATCCCTAGTAGTAACCATAAGTGTAACCCTTCTTATTGCATTTAGACCGCGTTTCGTTTTTTTAGTACTACGTATTTTTGTTGGTGAAAAATATCGAGTGAGGAACTGAGGACCAGAATTGAACTTATTCAATTTTCATCCTACTTCACCACTTATTTGGTTCCATTTTGTTGCTCTACATTTTCAAATTTTCAGGGGAAATGACTGGCCGTTTGGCCCCTTTGTTCCAAGGCTCCAAGCTATTATATTGCTCTACATTTCCAAATTTGCAATGGAACCAAAAATTCATTATTCTTTAGCTTGAAAGTATGATTGAATAAAACAAATTGACTCACTAAACTCACTGTAATTCTTTGTTATGAAACAACAATCAATTCATGCATTTTTTACGCGATTTTCACCATAAGCCACCCGGAAACATTCTCTCTATACCAACAGAAGTAGGACTGCGTTCATCCAACCCTCTTTACCTCATTAATGCTGATAATGATGATTGATGACATCAACAAAATAGTCAATTTTATATTTTATGATTCTCATATCTCATTGAGTAAAAAATTATGACTACTAAAAAATCAGCACATCTAAATTTGAAATTTGAAATGCATACAAAATTGCCAATTGATTCATAAATCATAATACTAGTTAAATTTTCAAATTTTAAAAATAACTTCTTATTCATTTATCTAGGATTCATGTGAACTAACGTTTATTCCACTTGCATATGAAAGATTCTCTCTTTGAGGAAGAAATTGTGCATTATCATGGGGGGGGGGGGGGGGGGGGCCTACTCCAGTTTTCTTTCCAAATTCTTTGCACTGATAGTGTGAAGTTTTCTTCTCTCCCACTCCATATTCTTTCCCCAAAATCTACTTACCCAATGTTCCAAAACATGCAGTAAATCACGCTGTTTGAAAACTGTGATTGCTACATGAATGCAAAAAAATCAATAATAATAAGAAATATCAAATAAAATAAAATAAAATATGGAAACTGAAGAGTTGGATATAAAATATTAATACTCATTCACAATGGTTTAAATAAGAGAACCCCTTCTGTAACATGCTAAATAACACACAGATTACATTACATACATTCCCACTTGGCCTCTTCAAAAGAGTCGCTTAAGCCGACCGACAGATGCATGTATGAATGGTTCATTAATATCCTACTAAATAATGATACTCTGGTTATTGTTGTATCCACATAACCCATGCTTAGCGTGTTACATACTCCTAAACAGGACCTAATATTTGAAAATAATGACATGTCACCATTCCCTGTGTGTACGAATAGATCCTCCATGAGAACCCTGGTTACAGATCTGGGGGCATTTTGCGGAATTGATAAAACTTGATGATGACAACTAGGAACACATGACCAGGTGCCAACTAAATTATAAACTTAATAAAATTATAAGTTTCATAAGCCTGACAGTTTCCAACATTGGCAAATCGTAAACTACCTTTGAGGTGATACATCAATCATCACTCCATATGTCTCCTTTCATTTCATACTGATGGGGCAAATTATAAAATACATCCAGATGTAAATTTAAATCTTGGTACATTTGTATCATTATAAATAATTGCTCTTTTAGTAGCGTAAGAATGTTCATTTCATCGTGATTATATAACTTATTTATTTCTAATCATTCTTATTCAATGCAACACCCATTCAAATATAAAAGATGCTCATTTTATATTTAAGAAGGAACAATTTTGTATCATAGAATTAATCTTTTCATCATTTGGATGTACCATGCTGATGTACAATATACACTTTATCACTTGCTGCCACGTCAGCAAGTCACTGCACATTTGTAACTCTGCCAAATAAAGGTATAGGGAGTTTGTGAATTTACCTATCTGAACCCCACCATTGGATCATATAGAAATTATATCAAGGCTTAAGCATTCTCATATGAGCTGCGATTGACACGCCAGATATGCAAACAAAAAATTAACAGTAATAGTTTAATACTAACTCCTCTCATTGTTCTGAAAAAAATACAAAGACACCATAAAGAAAGAAGAGATAGTAACAATTCATGCTGGTCAGACTTGGTTGATAAACAGGGGTTTGTAATGGTTACCTCATTGTAGGAATGATCTCCTTAAGCAGCTGTAGTTACCAATGCTAACTAACAGATCTGGTTTGGCTAATAATGCGACCCCGAAAAGAGTTGGGGGTCAAGGAAACTCTCATACCAGATGATTCAAACAAAGCAGAAAAATAGAAGAGTTAAGAGTGACAACAGAGCAATACCTACCTCATCAACTCTTTCTCCTCTACATTGATGCTAGGGGGGAGAGATCATTATAGTCTCAAAAAAGCTTTGCTGTGAGATCAAAAAAACAGTTCCACACATGAAGAGATGGACAGATGGATCTTCTTATACAACATTCAGGATAACTTTTTGAGGTAATAATAGAATGGTCTACCTCCACTTTTTCAAAGTTGAGATGTCTATATCTCCTTATAACACCTCCTCTAATATTGGCGGACTGGACTCTTAGTTGAGCTCCTGCGACCACTAGTCCTCACCGGTGACCTCGACCTGCTTCTGTCACGGTTTCTGTTACGGTCCCTTCCGTTTCTGGAATTACTGTACTTCCAATCTGAACCGCTCTTGTCTCTGTCGCGAGCCCCCCTTGAATTTCGGTCTCTTTCACGGTGGTGATCACGCTCCTCCCTGTCGCGATGCCTATCCCTGTCAGATGAACCACCACCGCTTTTACGCCTGCTGTCATATTCTTTCTCCTTTTGTTTTCTTCTTTCTTCTGCTTCCTTCTCTCTTGCCAATCTTTCCTCTTCCCTTGCCTTCTCTCGTGCATCCTAACATACAAAAAGGAGAAAACCACAACTTACATTTCCTCCACCTGCAAAGTTAAAGACAATATCCTCTGTCCAACTTTAATTTTCAAGTAAAATTCCTTAAAGCCAAGCGGTAAAGTGGTTTCAGGGTTATTTTGGTATTACTGATTATAGAAGTTAAATTGTGAATAACAAGTGCTGGGCTGTGCTATGAGAAAATGGTTTGGTTGGGAGATATAAAGTACTATAGATGTAGAAATATTTGATACTATGGAGGTGCATTGAGACTTTATAGACTAAATAACTATTTTTTGGTAAAACGCTTGGGATGTTGTTTGAGCACATTTTTTACTGCTGTGTCTTTTAAATTATTTTATTACAGAAGCTTTGGATCCACAACTCTTTTCTAAATGAACCTTTCGGAGGAAAGTCTGTTGCTTTTAGCATTAATTAGCCACAATAGCTAGATTACTAAATAGAAATACAAACATATAGTAGCAGTCACTAAATATTCAAAAAAGTAGATTAGCTGGTCGTGCCAAACATACAAGGAAAGTAAAAGAATGTACCTCAATTGTCTTATTTCATTTTACTTATTTTTTGTCAGGTTGCGGGGCAGGTACCATTTACATCAGAAATAAAACATTTATCACTGGTTTTTTGTTGAGGGAATGTGGATTATTTACCTTGTATTCAGACAGGAAATCTCGAACCATGCCATAACCAACATGCTGTTTGCCAGTGACATGAGACTGAGTCCTCTCAGCAGCATCATTTGCAATTAAAAAGGAGCCACATGTTTCACACAATGCCATCTTTTTATCCTGTGCCATCATCAACAAGTGGCTTTGCTGGGACTTATGAGTCAATGATATCTTTTCAATATTAAGCAGTTCCACCTGAAAATGAGTTATGACTCATCAATTTCAACGATAAAAGAGGCTTGGAGTGCACACCGTAACTAATTTACCCCCATCTTTTTCATTGAGCTATGAACGTTGCTCCTTTCAGCTACAATTTTAGTTTCTATGGCAAAAAGATTCGATATGTTTACAGGATAATGCAACAAGACAAGCATGTGGTAGAAAATGTTCTCCTGAAAATTGAGTTGTTCAATGTATAAAATAATGTTTACCACACAAGAATATAAAACAAAAATTGTTTATACTACAACAACAACAACAACATCCAAGCCTTATTCCCAGAAGATTTTAGGGTTGGCTTTATAGTCCGTGATCAAAATGAAAAGAATCATTTCCAAATAAAAAACTGAAGAATTATAGAAAATACCTTCCTTCAGGAAAAAGGATTTTCTGCCGAAGACAGGAAAATGTTTCAAGAAAATTTGTTTTCCAGTGCCAAACAAAAAGACAATAAAACATTTTCCGAGAAAAATTATCCTGAAACGTATGAAACCTAATTATCAATATTTGTGGATAAATAAAAAATGGAAAAAAAAAATTCAGCAGCCATAACAACAGTAGCAGTTTGAGACACCTTTTTCATCAACGCTTCAGCTTCATCCACCTGTCCAGCTTCACCAAGAGACTCCACTTGTTCCAGTAAGTTCTTAATCTTTTCCTCCAGAAGAGATAACTGCTCAGACTTTTCTGTCGAAATGGGGAGAGGTGGGGGTGTTGCCTCATCTTGATCAAGACGTTCCTGACCACGCTTAACTCTTCTATCCAAGTCCATGATCTAGAGAATACAATAAATCAACAATTATCATTACAATTAATAGTCCAGCCATTATACTTTCAACATGTATTCTATTTAAAAGTGTTACTGTGCTAAATATATATACTAACCAACTTCTCACAGAAATGAGCAAGCTCTCCTTCAAACTTGGGAACATACGAATCATGCCTTGGGGAATTCTCAAAACTGGAAACATACATAAAGAATTCATGATTCAAATGCAATAGGAGTGCATACTTAGTGAGTGGAATAAGTTGGGATGATTGTTGGACTGTTGGGTATATAATAATAGGAATGAGACTTAAAATAAAAGGCAAAAACAATAATGAAAAAATATATTAGAAAGAAAAGATTTTTCAATGAAAACTTATAGTTCTTCTAAACCTAAGCCACTTCGATTCATGATGACATCTAGTGACCTGGAGATGAGCAAACACGTGGGAATACAGGAAAGGGATGTCCAGGTAAAATAAAAGGGTAGCCAGGTGCATGAAGGCATCCACAGAAGGGTCCCACCACAAGTGTGTATAAGGGGCAAGCCTTCCCCAATCAAACTTTTGACAAGAGGCTGCTCCCAATTACAATAACTTCAAATATCTCAGAATGGAAACAATGTGAAGCTTCACCGGTCAAATGCTTTCAATTACATATGCTAAAGGGTAATCAAGCATCCCCTAAATGTAATTTCGTTTTGAGAATCTCTGAACTTTAACAAGAAACCATTCAAGCAATTTCCAAATGCCAATACGTAGATTATGTATCACTAGCTGTACAAGCATGTCACTGATTTGGAATTGCAAAGAAAAAATAAAATACAACATTGAGGTATTCTAGTTAAGGCAACATCATGAATCACAACCTAAGAAAAAAAAATGACTCTTACCTTTCCTTCAGCTTCGGATCATGAACTTTTGGACATGGCCCTGATGTCAAGCACAAGGTTGAAAGAAAAATAGTAAATGAAGTACATCAGTAAAACTCTACAGAATAAGGAATTGCTTTACATGGTTAAACATATTCTGTATTATGCAATATAATATCCCCAATACATGAAACGATATAAAAACCCCATAAAAACTAAAGAGGCCTCTAAAAAGTTATAACTTATCAGGGCTTGATCAGTTTTTCATAAATCTAAGACTTACCCAAATCACTCCTAGTGTTTACAAACAAATCATGGGGACAAAACCGAACCATATAGAACCCACAAGCTTCCTTGTCATCCCATGTGAGTTCCTTATACCCCTTCCTCTCTTCTTCAGTTAAATTACGAGCTACCAAACACATCACAAAACATGAACAGCATTATTAGCAATGAAAAAAGAATGATTTACTTACAAATGTAGAAAAGGAATCATAGAAAGCTGATACAATAACACTTATCCGCCTAGATGTCTCATATTTTAATCACGTTTCAATCAGCAAATAAGTTTAAAACAGTTGGATGCTGATAACGTAATCCTGCGCTTTAAGGGTATATATTATGCAAAAAAGTAAATTCTCTCTCCTACATTAAAATCGAATGGTTCACATGATCACATTCAAAACTACAATATTGTTCAAGGTCTAATTATGAGGAGCTGCAAGACAGAGTCTATCTCGGTTGTAAGGGTTCATGGATCAATAGTATACTACAGTATTACACCATCTAATGAACATAGAACTGGCAAAGTAATAGACGGTTTAAGACTGATACAATACATGCGCCCATGAGTTCATCGAGCAATGCTCTCTGAGCATCCATGACGGAGATTTCGGGGCAAGTGAGAGAGATGAATCACAGCTGGTGCTGGAACCCCCGAATTCTCAGTAACTGAAGTAGCAGAATGGTGATAGAAGCTCTCTGCCGCGAATTAGGGTTTCATCGAAATCCACACAACCTTGGGCGATTACAGCAAAGTTTACTTGCTGGTGTTTTAAGGTATAAAATATCTCTCTTACCGTATGACCTTCTCATTCTACCTTATATGTGGTCTTTAAGATTGTTCCATACTAATTTTGTTAAAGTTCGTGTGGCTCTAAATAATTCTTACTTTATTCTTACTTTATCGATATAATATCAAGCACATAAACTACTTTTTATTAATTTGTGTGTCACTCCCTCGTGTCTCATTGTTAGCGGGACAGAGAGAGTAATATGCAATTAGAATCTGGTATAAATGTTATAGAGTATTCTTTAGTCATAAAGAAAGATACACACACAAAATTTATAAATGAATTTTTTCTCCCAGTTATGAAATGGAAGAAAATAAGCAAAACATTATGATGAGTGATTATATGTGTAAACTCTTGATAAGGTTGGTTATATTGTGTTAATCACAATGAGAGAAGACTACTATTTATAAGAGAAGGGGTGAGCTCAATCAGATTATAAAAAAGTTATGAGTCACACAATTATCACCTTCAAATCATATTTATGATTTCATTATTATTTAGATAATGTGATAATAATTTTTAATTATGAATAGTTAGAAAATGACTAATTCAACTAAATTTTAACACTCAATTTATTTTAATGTTCTTATTTTTGGTATTTTTCTTCGTAATGTCTAATATAGTGTTTAGATATGGACAAAATCAGTTATGTCTTGATATAGGGATGTTTTTCTTCATAATATGTCTAAGTTTTTGGTATTATTAATATCTAACTATAGTGAATAATTAGATATTTCTTTGTTTAGGGATGTTGGAAACGTTTTTTTTTATTTTGGCCCGTCTTCTGATGACTGGTTAGTACGCAGCGACAAATCAATCGTGATGCTTACTGTATCTGATTCACATGCTTTCAGATTTTGACTATGGTCCGCGCTGATAACATTTGTGTCGCTAACGCGTTCATTAACCAAGAGGTCGTGATGACTGCATTGTTGATTGTGGTGCCGACTACTTCAACTTCGGTGTTGTTAGAGGTGACACCCATTCACCGAAAGTGGAACTATGTGACCTCGGTTCACATGAGAGGTTGGATTTCTCATTGAAGACGTTTTTCTCCAATAGTTGCTTCTTGGTGTTTGGAATGTTAGGTGTTAAATGTCATATAAAACTATAAACTGAGTGCCAGTCGAGGAGATCCGGTGAAGTCATGTTGTACAGTATTGGCGAGGTTCTGGGCGAAGTTTTTATTCAGTGTTTGGTGAGGGTCATGTGGGGATTTTGTGAGGGCCCACTCTTGATTTTTGTCTTTGTGTGCACTAGTATGGCATCAAAACTTTGTATCAAACAAGTTTTCAGGAGTGACTTTGATTTTAAATGCCTTAGGTGAAAGGACGAATTTGAGGAACTAAGTGAACAAAAGAGAAGATGCATTGCATATGAGGCAAATGGAGGGGATTACCCAGCTATGGAGGTTTAGGGGGGTCCAAAATATAGATGGAAGATGACTTCGGTAATCATGTCTGCTTGAACAACTAGACATGGATGAGGTTGGTTGTTGTGCAGATGAGGAGACGATAGCAACCAACATGTATGGGTGTACATGTGGTGTTGACATACGAACGCTATAAAATTTGACGTTTGTGGATGCAGACAGGCAAAATTCAAGTTGTTTCAAGTTTTTGTAGCTTTGAGTACTAACTATAGTGGGATGGAGGTACGTAGTATTAGTTTTCTTACTTTGGTAAAATTTGTCTCATTAAGATTGCCTCACTAAGCTCTGCCCCCTAAGATCGTCTCACTTTTCCTTTTCAATTCGTCTCATCAAAATTGTCTCAAAAAAAATTGATAAAATTTATGTGTTTATAAATCATTTTTACTTTATCAACTCAATATTATCCATATAAACTAACCTTTCTTAATAAGCACACTTCCTCATGTCTCTCAATGTTAGTGGGACAGAGGCACGTAGTATTAGCTCTCTTTGCTTTCTCTTATCGGTTTCAACCACTGTTTTGTTTACATTTGGTCTTTCTAGGGTCTCTTAGTGTGAGCCACTTGCAAGTATATTTTGAAATTCATACAAATCTTTTTGTCACCAGAGTTCAATGATTCGATGTGCTTATTTACGATTGACCGTTTCGGTGTTTGATCAGTGGGAAACATGGTGGGTCGAGCTGAAAGCGTTTATAAAGTTCTTAATTTATTCTATTATGATATATGCATTTTCTCATAAAATATATACACATTATGCTTGACACTTTTGCTAAAAAAAATACAAGTGAAAACATATAAGATTGTGGAAAGAGATAGAAGAATTTTATTAATTTTATTTTATGTGTCTATTTCTCTCATGACATATATGTGCACTATGCACGCCAATGCATTAAAGATACTCTTAACTTTTTTAGTCTAATATATTTCTAAGTCATTAATTATCAGGGAAATGCAAAATTAATACAGGAAAAGATATACCATATTTGTAATATATGAGATGACACGGTACATTAGCCTACTTTGAAAAATAAGAGTGTTTATACATGGGTGTTATAAACACTTCTTGATTAGTCACATATCATAGTACCGGAGTGCAATGCATTAACCCCCCTTACATAAAAAAGACGTGTAAATGAGGGTGTGTTTTATGTAACTACCTACATATATGTAACACCCGTACTTTTTATCTACTTCTTATGAGCTAATCACTTTTATTATGATCATGTTTTAACTTATGGTTTAAATGCTGTATATGTGAAGTATAGGGATATCATGTGATTATGAACTTTGTGATAATCATATTTGAAATTACATGTTTGTATTATGTTTGAACGTGACAGGTGACGGTATCCGATGAGCAACGAAACTATACCGTAATAGTCATTTTATTTCGAATGAAATGATATATCAAGTTAGTTGTCATGTTAGATAGGATTCGGGTGTTTAAAATATAGTTTAAAATGTCATTGGGGGTCTAAGATTGGGATCGGCAACAATCGGGGTCGATTTAGGGCGAAAAGGGGCATTTTCGACACCCGGAGGTGCCGGACCGGTGCCGGTTGGGACCAAACCGGGGCCGGTTCAAAACAGAGAGTATAGCTTGTTGGGATGGCGGGGCAACCGGCACCGGTCAGGGGCAAACTGGCGCCGGTCCGACGATTTTCGCCCAGGTCGGTGTACGGCATATTTAAACGGGAAAATCCCTTTTTTCTCCAAATCGTAGCCCAGCTCGACCCCCTCTCTACAAACTCATTTCCAAACCCTACCTAGACTGATTCAAGCTCAAACTAAGTCTATTACTCATCAAGAATCATCACTTGGTAAGATTTTACACCTTACATGAAGTAATTTTTCCATATTTTGATCCATAGTTCTTGTTTTGGGATTTAACTAGGGTTGAGTGAATTTTGGGTTGATTGTAAGAAATTAATGGATGTTATGGATGATAGGAGTGTTGTAGAGTGGTTTTTTATCCTTGGTTGAACAAGTTTTAAAATCTATTCATGAATAACTAGCTATATCAAAACTATGTCAAATTGATGAAAGAATTTGGGGAATCTTCTTAATATGTATAGGCTGATTTTAAGTAGACGTGTAGAGCTCTTGATAGTATGGTTATTGGTTAGTTGTTGTTGACTCTAGAGTATGAAGTTCAATCGGGTGTTGGTTGTCTAATTACCCGAGAATTTGACCGGTTGAGATATAGGAGTCTTAGAAGTCTATCATATTCAGGGACTGGTTTTGTTGAGTTCCTCTTATGCCTAAGTCTTAGGGTTTTGGTAAAAGCATGAAATTGTGTAGATGAAGTGTAAATCATGTATATATATATATAGCTGCTCATCGAAGAACCGTTGCCCGTGGACGCCTTATACACACAATTGAGGATAAAATCTCCACGTGAATCAGGTAAGTGATCACCACCTATACATGATAGTTCTAAATCAAAGTATGGAAGTCTTGCTAATTATGAATTGGATATGTTTGCATGGATACTTGAACTTGTGTGACATGATGATAGGTGAAGTTCAAGTGATATGTAAGTGATTACTTCTAATGGTTGCGGGCTAGCTACCCAAGGTCATTAGCGAGGGGCCAGGACACGAGCTACGGGTCCTTAAAGTCAAGGAATGAAATAAGAACAAAGAGGGATGGATAAGAAACTATCTTGGTGTTTGATACATGAATGCTTATGTGATGTAATCATGTGTGATTATAGATTATGTGTTGTGTATCCAATATGAGTATCGATTTATGATTAGCTAAGATTCCCTAAATATTTTAGTGGATGAAATGGTGACTTACTAAGCATTATTGCTTACGAGAATTCTATTCTCTTGTGTTCTCATGTATAGGTAATAAATGAAGAATGAAGTCTGAGATGATGTACGGAGCTGGTGACAAGGCCTTGGATGGGTTAACGGAGAAGACCTGACTTTTTCTTATGTTTTGTATAATACTTTGCTACATCTACGAGTTGTTTAGTATTTTGTTTTAAAAATCCTGATCAGGTGTGATGACTTTGTTTTACGGGTGGTGGTTGTTGGTCTTTTGACATTTTAGTTATAAAGTTTCTTATGTATATAAGAAATGAAGTCTCATGACGAAACTTTGTATCTTTAATATTCCGCTTTGTATATTGAGTTTTGTTTATGTTGAGTATGGTAATGGCTGTTTGGGGACGGCCGTTACAGTTTGGTATCAGAGTCCAGGTCCTTCTGTAGCTTCATCCATTGCCACGTACCGCTCGACATATCTCAGGTAAGTTACTAGTTTTGGTTATATATGGATAACCACAATTTTTCTTAAGTAAAATAATTACAAGTGTTGAATAATTATGTGTGTGTTGTTATATTGGTT